CGCGTCTGCACCCTTACTTCTTCATGGTTGTGCGGTCGTTCAATGTGACTTACAAACTTACTCGCGCACCAAAATACACCCAAGATCCTCCGCAGTTCATTGCGATGCACGGTGTCAAATGCTATGGGAAGGTCGAAGGCTTCGCATACAATGGTTGGTTTCGCTCACGATATTTCTGCAACTGACAGGGTGCGAACAATCTATCCATCATGCTGCGACCCAAACAGCATCCTTAATATTTCCCAGCCACGTTTGGATAGAGGACCTAAGTGACAAAGCAGTTGAGCAGAATCCAAACAACCACCTTCCCAGCACAACTTAGCAAGGTATGTCACGATAAATGTTGGGAAATTGCTTACTTCATCCTTTATCCATTAAATAGCTCTAACACAAAGCCATACTTCGGCTCCGATAGCACCTCCTCTATATATTACACGCTTTGTGTCAAGTGGTGCAGCGCATGTTGCACTGGAGGTCCGCCGTTTTTCAACACTTCGGGCGATATCCATTCTGATCGAGTGCACCTGCTGTTCCAATGCTGAGTTCGTTATCTCTGTTTCACAGAATGTCGGAGTGTCGACAAGACCGTCCTTTACATCCTGTTGTTGTGTCACATGCAACTCAGCCCAACCAACATCCGAATGGTTGTTCAAGAGACAGTCAAACTGCTTTCGCCATACTTGCAGTGTGCGTGTAGGCAGCACCCGAATTATCGTCCAACAGCGTCCTCTTTGGCTGCAAGCTGGATTCAAACACTGCCTTCAAGGAGTCATAGAACTCTTCTTATCGCGGTGACTCTCGGCAGTGAAGTCCATCTACCCCGCTTTCTCCGCCCACGTTGTATTTTCTAAGCAACGAAGTCCCCGAGTAATCTGCTGACACACTTAACGAGCCCCAGCCTTCTGCAAATTGCTGGTGTTCTCCAGATGGGTATCAAAACCGACACTCTTCCCTGACACCGATGCGGCAGTGGTCGAGCTGTTGTCTTCACACCAATGGGACTGAAAAAATTTTGCAAGCTCGAGCGTTTTCTTGGCAACAGCGGTAACCTCTTCATTCAGGTGGTGTTATAAAGCGTTTCAGGAATCCATGTTGTCAACGTCACTGCATTACCCAGTTTGATCCATCCATCAACAGTACCTAGGGTTTGAGCATTAAATCGCCGCCAATTCGCTCTAAGCGAACATCAGATTTTCGTGAATATATACACCATTTCCTCCGCCCCAACTTGTGATCAGTCCCACACACAGTTTCACGTATTAAACGCGTCATGTGTACTTCACGCACGTCAAGCTGGCGTAGCTGACATCGTCGGCAGATGAGCGTGACCAATCCGCGGGTGCGCCAAATAGTAATAGTAATAGCAATCGCACCCAGTGCGAAATGTGTTTGTGCTTCTCAGGCCTTGAGTGAAACACACACCACCGTTCACTTTGATTGAGCCAATTCTATACGGCCCAAGTACGTCTGTCTAAACCGCAATGCTCGTTGAAATCACCTAACAGGTGGCTCCTCAGCACAGCTGTATCACGGGTGAGAATTGAGTATATACAGATTCCTTGTTTCATCAGGATACTACATGGTGCGACCATATGTGCTCCGAAGTCTCATCAGTTTTGGTTTGAAACCCATCGGCCCTTCATCGGATGGCCATTTAGGTGGTCAAATAGTGCAAATCCAACCCATGTTCTCGCACAGCATGTAGCCCCTATCATCCTTGTGCATATGTGCCTTGTTCAGGTCGGCTTTACCAGTGCGGTAGCGACCGAATGCCACGGCAATTAGTGTAGTGAGTCACTTGAAGCGCTCAGTAATATACCCAATTTCCAGTATCCCATCCAGAACGTTTTCCGCGATTATATACGTTTGCGCTGGGTAATCATTCGGGTGGCGATTAAGGACGCGGGAGTTGGTGGGTTAGGTAAATGCGGGTTGGGAGAGAAGGGTGGGGTTGAGATGGAAGACGAAAAATAGGAGGATTCAGCGGTAACATATCTTTACTCATCGACCTGCTGCGTGTTGCTGATAAGGCAAACAGTATCCTTTGTTTATGGCAGCCGATGCAGCGCCAAATTATTTGTAGTTGCGCGATTCATGTCTTACGGTTGGACTAATATAACATAAGGGCATCAACACCTGAAGAAGAAAACGACTATAATCGTCAGCTAATGACTTCAATAGAGCCAGAAGGGCGGGAAATGCACCACGAGTCAAACGACTCGCGCGAATGTGTAATATCTCTAAGCTAACGATAGTGAGGAGGCGTCCAAGACATTGGTTCATGGTTGAATTGAAGCAGCAACGGATCAACAGCTTCTCAGAATTTCGCTTTCCATAACCGCAACAAGCCATGGATTTGCTGTCATATATATATATATATATATGAGTTTAGTGGCAGAAATTTTGTGAACCTAAATGATCATCTTTCAGTCCATTATTTGAGGACGCTCGTTTAATACATAATGTACAGTACCCATGTTCACTGCAGCGAAAATGCTTAATCTCTATAGCGGATCACAGCCACAATTTAGGCTGTGCACCAAAGCGTCCTGTGAAGACGAATGGTACAAACATCCAATAATAACTCAGCTTGAGTGAACAACTGTTGCCGAAATACTACTCCATCAATTTATCAGCAATACATGTGATAAATAATGGGCGGACATCTTACTCAATGCCTGACTAAGCAGCAGTCACATTGTGCGGTACGTAATGTCAACCACATACCATCTGTGTATCAAAGACTACATTGTTGGCGTTTATGGTGAAGTGGTCGCATGTTGACTAAGTACTGCTCTACTTTAGCCTTTCCAACAGATGGATCAGACAGCAAGAAGTATAGAGTAAGCCAATTGTTGCCAGCCTAGCGGATACTAAAAACCCAACTGAAAGGCAGTAAAATGATGATGACTACATAGATTTTGCATAGCAAACGATCGATTCGTGAATTCCCGCCAGACGCACTCTCGATATGCCATTTACCTTCGTTTGTAAAGCTCAGTTTGCAATGAAGCTCTGAAAAACTTTCATGTCTATAATTTTCTTGTGAACAAAAGTCCCAGATCACAAGGTCTCAAAGGGGGAGCAAACTTTCATCAAACGAATGAGCATTGCTCCAGTCCTTTGTATAGAATTGCACCAAAAGACTACAGGGGGCACTCAAAGGTATAGTACAAATAGACGTTTCGATTGAATACTTTGGATACTACCGTTCAATTTCAGTCTAAAGCTTGTCCCAGTGGAAGTCGGTTAGTGTTGGAAATCGTTTCATTGTAGTTGTATGCTACTCAAGCTAATACCCGCTCCATTAACAACTTCGCCATGCTGGAGGAAGCGTTGGACGCACGCGGTCATGGTCAGACTGAATGTAGCGAGAAGAACCGATTCAATAAAATCCAAATGTTTCTGATCTGGATATCAGAGTGACTGGCTTTGAGGCAATACACTAAGTGAGACTTAGTTGGGCTATTTCTACCATTCACATCAGGGGAACATGCAACAAATTATAGTGAAACTACTCAAACTCATAATTGACTAAACTCGCCTAGGAGAAACTAAGTTTGGTTAATTAGAGATGTAAGAAGGACAAATGGGTCCGCTTGAAGCATTCTTGGTGTGAAAACGGGGACATCAGATCACAGTCAGGACAGGAAGTTACTCCGAAGTGAAGTTAATTCAGTTGCGTCACTGGGACAGCACGTGCAGCAACTGAATACTGGATGTTTCCCCCACCTAACGCTGCACTTCACGATTGGTTACCTACTTTTGTACACCCCCCGGGCTGGTGCTGACAATGGAAGATCAGTATGATATACTTTGGTCGAGTGTAACTTGTTTACGCCCGTTACAATGCACTCGGGAATGATGTGTCATGCATAAATTAAAATCTTATGCAGCCTGTTATAATTGCTTATTCAGACCATTGGTTAGTGATTAAGAAACTCAGCTCCGCAGGATAGTATCCATAGCATCCGATTACAATGCGGGCACGTTTAACCTGTTTGACGCAACTCGCTATCCCTTGAGTACGCGAGTACTGCACAATGAGGTGCGCATGTGGTGTGCACCACATTTACGATCAAGCAAGCCACGGATAGTGCCATAGTTCACAAGAAGATCTGAACCGATGTGTATACTCTGGATAAGATCAGCGTTCTTCATGCATGCATTAAAGTAGCGGTACGTATGAACTAGGCAGCGCAACTCTAGTAACCAGCGTAATAGAGTGGCCTTCTGGTCACATTGGTCGAACGGATTCGATTGGCAAAGCAGAAAATCATATTTGTGTACTTACATGGTTGGCAGCATGTGGTTTCGCATTTGCCTGTCACTGTGGCCAGCCTAGGACGCTTATGCATACAAAAAGACCATGAATGATGTGCGCTGCACCACCCACAGCTCCAACCACGCACCCCATACCCAGTGTAGACCCGAAGGAATAAGACCGGGCGGCATGTGGATGGGAGCCACGTTTCGTCAAAGGAGCTTGCCCACACTCCCTCACAGGCAAACATAAGCAAGATGTATTTGAGGATTCAAGCGCACACAAGGCGGTGACTGGACCGTAGTCCTCTCCACACTGAGTGCATGGAACTGCTCTTTAAGGCAAGCGCGGAAAACTGGACCGTGCACGCCGTCCCCTACAGCAACGACCAGCCGTCTCCTAGAGGCAGTATAAACGAGGTAGTGGGTAATAGATGAGGAGACACCTTGTTAAGATGCACCTACCTACACTGTCATACAAACGCGATTGCGAACTCCGCTACTGAAATTTGCTTGAGCGCGTGAGATGAGAAATTGAAAAGGTATATTGCTGCCGGTTGGAATTCCCTGACCACCTCTGCAATGACAAAAGAATCAATCAAGGAAGACCCAGAACTAGACACCATCTCTCAGGTGCCGAAGTGAGCATGAACCCAAGAGTATGCCCGAGCGCCCGACCATCTTGTGGATAACAACAGTAGAGAAAAGTCTTGGGTGGAATTACAGATATACATTTCTCAACCGGACTTGAACAGTAGCACCGCAACTGGACCGAGGTACAAATAAATGAAGTTGTTTGTTTCATGTGTGACGTAGCTGCAATGCAAAGTGAAAATAAGTGAAATTAGCTGCTTGTTCAGGTGTCATGGCGTTGTTTACAATGAAAAGACAACGCACAACCTGACCACGCGAGATGGAGTTTAAATGCACCACAAATTCAAACCTCCAGCTTCTTAACTTTAAGCACCCAGAGGCTAATTATTCGACAATATACTATTTGCCTAAAACGATCTCCAATGTCACAGTTAGTAGCACGATGAGGACAAATGCACCGGAATTGAACGCGGTGTACAAATAATGAGGTGCAAATTATTGGATTGAAATCTTTCATACCACTGCTGCGGCACTCGTTACAAAACGACGTGAAATAGCACACAGACGTACCTGCCAAAATTCCGTCCCACAATGCAGTGCCACGTCGGGTTGTAGCGTTTGTCAAACTCCTTCTTGATATGTGCAGCCACATCCTTCTCCACACTGTACCTCTGTATGGCTTCAGTGCAACAGTTCACCGCCTCCCGCTGCATCTCCTCACTCATATCGGTGTTTTTGATCACTGCCTTTGTGTCAGCCATGATTTCCTTTTGCTGTTGATCTACTTCTGTTGTTATCACGATCGTGGCTGATTGCAATCCGTAGGAGGAGTTTGCTTTTAAAGGCTTCGTGCTTGATGGGTAGTGCGTGAGTCTGCAGCGCCCACAGTAGCTTCACTTCAACTGGTAGACTCTTGAGATAAGAATTGACCGTAGTGTGCTTCACGTGCCTGCCTGTACACTCAGCAATATCTAGTATTGATTGCAAGCCTAGGTAGAGTGTTGGTGTGCATACCGCAACCGTTGTCAATATTCGATTCATGTAATTCTTGTGTGAGTGTTGAAGGATGATGCGAGCATTTAAAGTCACCTCGAATCAGCGCACATAAGGCTTTTCAAACGATTCACCCAGGTCCTTTTCGTGTCGCATTCATATAGAGCCAGCTGACTTGTGGAATGTAACCAACTGAGGCGAAATCCGTCGATCGATAGAACCCCGGGTTGTGATACAATGTAAAAGTCTGATGTATACTTTCTTAATTTTGTGCTGCGTGGTGCGCTTTACTAGCTTTCTGGTATTTGGGTTGTGCTAAGCGTTTTCATGCATTTCAACGAAGCTACTATTTAGAGATGTGGTCATATATTCTCAGCCACTATAATGTTATCGGTCAACTGAAAGCCAAGTGGTTGACCTTTTAATATAACTCAAATGTTTCGTTTGGTGCTTTGGTTTTCATATGGCATAGTTCGAGAACAGCTCAAAAATCGCAATTTGTATACAATTAGTGCCGTAAGTATACTTATCCATGTTGTCCCATCTAAGTTGTAATGATGTGCTCACGTCTTTATCTACCCTCCACTTCCCTGCAATCCGTCGTAGCTTAATTTTCATATATTCATTGTGTCGTGAAACAGAGAACATCCAACAAGGTGGGTATAAATTGATCATATCGCACAGAAAGGAGTATGTGGCATTCTGGGGGTTCCTCGGTTTTTCTGCGTATGTGATATAAAGTATCAAATAAGAGTTCGATACAGAATGTGGCATCGTAGGTTGAATCTATTTATCCGACTCGTGAGTAACACACATACACCGTGGCATCGCCGGGGTCAACAAACAACTGTATCGTGCGATACACAGACCTTTTTCCTGAATAGCACGCGTTGGAACGGTGCCGTACTTGTAGCCAATACAGAGTACCCTTATACAGCCAATTATAAACATGCGTCTTGTCGCTTTTGTGCCTTCTTTCCTACTACAGTGAACAGTACTCTTTAATAGCCAAGCGCACACGTTAAGTGTGTGTGTGTGTGGCTTAGACCATGACTCCGGTGCTAAAAGTACAAGCAGCCACCTGCGGTATGTTGAAAAGTTGAGGATTTACACTATACCCCATAGCAATGCGCTGTCGTCGCAGTCGGCTGTCTAGGCGCCTGATTTGAAATGAAATTCGAGCAGCCGACATGTGCCACCATTATCATTGTTATACGTATACGTTTGCTCACTCAGTTGAATATACGCACCAGTTGCAGACTTTTTCTTCTACCCACAAATCTATAAGTTTGTCAATAAAATGTTTGTATATTGCACAGCTCTACAACATTGGAACATGAACACCACATTAGAACAATTTGCTCTGCTTCATGATCGACAGTTGATTCAAGGCGTAAACTGACTTTTCCTGTCCACCATACGGTGCGCTATGCGCAGAAAGGTTGAAGAGTTCCCGATCCTCCCATTTATTTCTGTTCAATTATAGGTGTGCGACAGTTTCCTTCCTGTGATTCTTTAGCTTCGTCGCCCAAAATGCAGGATGCATGTAGCATAAGCTTTGTGTGAATTAACCTGCCCATTGTAGCAAGGGTTTTGCACAGCCGCAAAAACAACCTATGCTACTATAACCACTGCTACCTCTGAAGTAATCGGTGACGAACATTATGAATACTGTAAATCAGGAAATTGCACAGTCAAGGATTTTGTAATAAGATGTCATCCATCACTGTTTCTGTAGGCAGCGTTCCAAGCAACATTCGAGGAAGATTTCCATGATAGCCGTTTGGAGGCAAACATCTTAGTAAAGCAAATAAATATCTTACCACGGTTGTTAATTTTCTCTTTGTATTACAACCTAACTCTTAGAATTTTTGGCCCTTTTGGGGATAGGTGTGAGCCAAGACTGTATGTCCTGGGTGATAACGATGTGATATAAAGGGTAGTTGGCGTGGAAAGCCTGTATAAGGTTTAGGAAATTGAGATGCCAGAGTGTGGGTTCATTACTTATGAGCCTGCATTTATTCCCAAATGGGGCTAATTTCTGGCGCCCCAAATTTCTCTACATGTGAAAATTTTGGTGTACCGAAGAAGGAGCTCGTACGGACTCCTGCATTGAGCATAGAAATGTGTTAGTTGCAATGGAAATTGTTTTTTGCAAACAGACGCATGCCATTGTTAGTTGTTCTTGTGCACTCAAAAATATTCAAAATTTAGGCTAATTTTAAGCGCCCAGCAAAGGCGCCATATATGAACAATGAACATTGATTTATCACGAGATAAAATCAAGTACTTTACACGTCCCGTAGGATGGTTGGGGTGAATATGATGAAATCAAAATATATGTGAGTCATCTACAGAGGGTATACCGAGGTGAATACTTTGTTAATTAACGTCAGTGTAAAATAAAAAAATTGACTATAAGCGTGCAGAAAGACACTGGGATGCAGTGGTCGTTGATGTAAGGAGTGCGCAAAATAAAATATGGTCGCTCACTTATCCGCCGCCTTCTTGGGTCAATGTAACACATAAATCATGTAGTACGGCATGATTGGCATAATACAACCTGGCGTAACTTAAGTAACAAGGTGTTGGCAGCTAAGATCAGTATCCAACCGTTTTTTGCAAATGTCCAAAGTAGGGGAAGATACAACTGAGTCTGGTACTGCGTTCCAGGTTTGGCAAACCTAAAGAGAAAAGTAATTCCGTGGACACGCTAGTCAGCCATATTCCTCCCGCCATTACAAGTAGTTACCCCTGGGCTTCCTTTTGTGGTTAAGTTTCAGAAAATGGCGGCATATGTGGTTGGGATCACAATCTGATGGCCGCACAACCTTCGGCAGCGTCCCATGAAAACTTTTAGCAACTTCACCCTTCGGTGGTAAGAGTGAAAACGCAGGTCCCTTACATCCTTTTTGCTCTTCGTCGTGGTTTCTTTAATGTCTCTGTAGCGCTTCAGCCAAGGTTCTCAAACTTGGATAACATATTCAACTTGTGGGCGCACGTAGTAATTGTGCATCATTGGGAAGATTGATGCGTCAAATCTCGCGAATGCCCTTCACAGCTTGCCAAAGTGCTGGTTGCCACTTTGCGCAGCTACCTCAGCCTCTTTTGAACAGCTGAGGCCGCTCCGCACAAGCACACCTAGTTCTCCTTCCTGGGAGCTGGTCTGCGAAACTGTGTGTCCTAAGCAAATGCGTGTAGTCATGTCTATGACGCAATTGCACAACGCGACATTTGTCAACGTTGAACAGCAGGGTGTTTTGAACTGACCAATTCGACACCGTGTTAAAATCACACTGGAGCCGTTCTAGGTCGTCCGGGGCTCTGATCCTTTGTCAAATCTTGATATCATCCGCGAAAACAGAAAATCGGAGGCCATTGTTCACGTCAAATCGTTAATAAACGCCAAGAATAGACGAGACACGAGCACCCAGCCTTGTGGTACACCACACTCCACATCAAGTGTATCGGACAATAATTCTCAACAATTCTCCGACACGCACCTCTTGTCGTCGTTCGTGTATAAAATTGCTTATACAACTCAAGATTGAGTCGCCAATGCGGCAATTTCGAAGCTTCCGAAGGAGAATTCGATGGTCTAAGCGATCAAACAGTTTTGGGAAGTACAGATTGATGACATCGACTACTGCTCCACCATCAACAACTTCTGTCCAGCTATTAAGTGCAAGCAATAGGTTAGTATTCCACGGATGCTTGTGACGAAAGCCATGTTGCTCTGGGGCTATTAAGTTGTGGCTTTCCAGTTGCTGCATCAGCGCATCTGCGATGATTGATTCCATAACTTTGGATAGCACAGGAAGTAGCGTTATTGAACGGTAGTTGGTAGGGTCAGTGCGACTACTTTCTTTGTGTACAGGAGTGATGACCCCTAGCTTCCATACTGGTGAAATATGGTTCTCCTCTAGACATCGCTGTTAGAAAACAGCCACTGGTTCTGCTAGATCACTAGCTACTGCCTACAGAGCCTTCAGTCGGAGGTTGTGGACTCCAGGTGAACTGGATACGCAAGGATCCCAACTTCTTCGACACAAGTTCCGCAGTGAAGGCGATGTTGTCTAAACCCGACGGTGGAGTAATAGAAACGAGGAGAATATTTGGGCTCGTTACCTGCTGGAACGTTTGGGAGTAATGAAGCCGTAGGAGATCAGCTGCTCCCATTGCTGTCCGCGTCCATCCGTCAGTCGTGACTAGTGCTGGAATCCCCCGGTTCACCTTTCGAAGGCCGTTAACGTGCCTATACAGAAGCCTGCGGTTCGTGCAGAATCGCTTCTTTAACTGCTCCTGATGCTTGCTCTTGTCCACGCCGATCAGTTTCACGATGTTCCGATATTTCACGTATGCAGTCCAGGTTTCGGCATTCGGGCAGTCCTTGTGAGCACGCCATGCCAAGTCCCGCAGGGACATATATTTACGTGTTTTACTCCTCAGAAATGACTTATATTTCTTTTAGGTTGGCAGGACTTCTGTTCCGATGCGTGCGCTACCAGTGTGCTAAATGTCTCTGTAAACGTTTCTCAGGCAACGTCTGAAGAGTCTCGGTTAAGAACGTTCAAGACGTATCCTTAACAAGCGTAGATAACACATTATATTGCGTGACAGCATGCACTTTATCAACCTGCGTTTCTGGACATTCCGCATAACATATATAGCCCAAGAATAGAGTTACATGGTCACTGCGACCAAGTAACGTGCTTAAAACTAACCGATTGACTGTGAATTCTTCGTTAGTGAGCACAAGATCCAGTCTCGACGGCTCTTTAGCAGTTCCAAATGTAGTGGGCGTTACGTGGTTGC